GCCTCTGCCTCTGCCTCTGCCTCTGCCTCTGCCTCTGCCTCTGCCTCCGCCCAGCGTGTGATGTCACTGGCCAGTGTTATACTGTTACTTATTTTTAACTTGTTTATTATTAGTGTAGAATGTATGCCACGTGTACACATGGAGGTCAGAGGACAACTTTGGGAACTCAGTTCTCTTCCTCCACCGTTATGTGGACTCTGGGGATTGAACTCGGGTGGCCAGGCTTACATGGCAAGCGCCTTTCTCTGCTGAGCATCTCATTATTGTCCTCCATTGCTACATCTTTAAATTACTACTCATTTCTTTCATGTTGCCAGTTCCGTGCAGCATGCTCTTTCCATCCCAAACACTATCTCCACACCCCCATATCCAGAAGTTCAATTTGGTTTTGTGTTGTTGTTTTTTTCTTTATTTCTTTCTACTTAGCATGATCAACCATTGCTCTAACTTCCAGAACCTGTGGACTGTAGTTAGCATAATTGCTTAATGTCTTGTGTCCTAATTCCATCTTCTGTGCTACTTGGGGGTCTATGTCAAGTGGTTGGTACATCCTCACGTAGGCAGTATTGTCCTGTGTCTTTGCAGGCCTAGTGGTTGCTGGCTGGCTGTGAGCCCTTGCGAATTTCACCTTGGTATGAGCTGATCATTTTAGTATTCTGATAATAGTCTTGAGCTTTGTTCTGGGATGCAGTGAAGTCACTTGAAAAGAGTGTTCTTCTGAGGCCTGCTTGGCTGCCCTCTCAGGCAGAACTCCTCTTCCCCTCCAGTACAGAAGCACTGCTCTTCTAAGAGCGTAGAGAGGGTTTATGCGCGGGCTGCTAGCGTGTAAAAGGTACCAGGTCTGTGTGAACTTTGGAGATGGTGTTTTTGGCTCCTTTGGGGTGGTCCTTCCTTGTACTTGGGTACTCCACTCACGCACCAGTTCTGCCCATGTTCAGGCCTGCGTGGAGCCCTGAGGGTCTTTGAAGCTCCCCCTCTCTCCAGTTCTCTTCTCTTCAGGTCTCTCTGCCCTGTGCTCTCCAGCTGCGTTGGCTGCTCAGGCTCCTGGTTCTGTCTCCTCAACTCAGAGGGAGCTGTGGGCCCCTCTCCTTGAGCGGAGTCTGGAAACTCTCCCCAGGTGGAGGCTGGCAATCCTAGGTCTCAGCTCAGTAGTTTCTCCTCTCTCAGGGACTGTTGCTTTGTGCTGCCTGGTGTTCAATGTCTGGAAACTTTTCAGTGGTTGTAGGACAGAGAGCAAATTGGCACCCTATTTTATATTCCCAGAAGCCCTGTAGCAACGTATTCACAATGAATTATCCCAATGATCCTGTATTTTAGGTAGGGTAGTCTTACTTTATGAGTAGAGAAAACTGCAATTTAGGGATAAAGTTGCATACAGTAGAATGGAGAGAATGTTCCAGCTAAGATGGGCGGTGGCGTCAACAATCGGGAATTATCTCTCAGATTCCCTACTTAATAGCTGCGTTATCGTGGCTCTTCTCGGTTTTCTCACCTGTAACAGCCGGGATGGTGTTATCAGAGATGAACCGAAATGGCTGGTGGAGGAGAGTACAGAGGTACCACGTAAGTGGTGTGTAGTAACTCCGTACTGCTGTTGCTGTGACAGCAGACTTGTTAAAAACCTGGGCTTGACTGAGGGCAGCCCACTTGACTCCAAGCTCCATCATTAACTCAGTGTGGCACTGTAGACATGCGTGTCAGTCAAGGTTGGATTAGAGAAGCAGAACCACTCGGAGACTCTAACCTGAGACTAAAGGAAAGAGAGTCTGGGAAATGTGGTTCCGTCAACCTTAGCTGACTCTAGAGACTTTCTAGGCTGACTTCGTTGAGTCCGTGTCCTCTTCTCCAGGGTGGAATAGTCATGTTCTCCCTGGATTCACTGGGTGGATGGTGGCCATGTGTAGTGCATTAAATACTGACACATAGTCTGGCCCAGATTAGGTTTTTACCATAGATGCTTCCAAAGATGAAAGTTGTCTGGGAGTGATCTGAACCCACAGCTGCTGTCCCCAAACTGTGCTCTTCTCAGTGTGCCATCTGCCTCCTGTGCTGGGCTGGAAGTGATAAAGGTCATCTTGACCCCAAGTCCCCAGTGCAGAGGTGGGTGAGCCAGGGGCACAAGTGTGCCAGGAAAGGGAAGGCAGCTGGGCCCTCGCTTTACAGAGAAAAGTGAGGGAGTGATCCGTGATTTGCTGCAGACAGGTTCTGTGCAGGGCCTCCTGTGGTGGCAGCTTACCTGGTTGGTAACCTCAGTCAGTCCTGATGAAAGAATGGGCTGGGCAGGATTGTTGTCTCCACAACTACATAAGGGACTCCAAGACCCAGAGAGATAAAGTCACTTGCACGAGTTCACAGAGTGACCAGATGACAGGTCCTAGGACAGGCTAAAGGGGCAGTAGATGTTGCAGCTTTGGGCAGGGGCTGGGGGAGGCATTGCTTTTGAAGGCAGACACTGCCCTGCGCTCAGAAGTCAGGGCAGAGTTAGGAGCCCCTCCCATATCTGCCCTTGCATACACACCTGCACACAGGCATCCAACAGAGGTGCCAGTGGCTGCACAGTGACGCTGTGGCTGTGGCAATGGCAATGGAGGCATTGGTGGTGGTGGTGAGAGTGTGGTGTTAGGTTACTGAGAATGATGGCAGTGATGGCTGCTGGTGGTGGTGACGGTGGAAAGAGTAGCAGTGAGTATGGCAATGGTTGTGGTGGCTGTGGTGGTGGTGGAGGTGGGGTGGTAGTGATGGTGTTAATGTTGGCAGTGTTGGCAGTGAGGGTAGTGGTGGTAGGAATAATGGTAGCAGTTAGGGTAATTAGTGGTGGTTGTGAGGGCGTTGGTAGTGGTAGTATCGGTGGTGATGATGATGAAATTAGTGGGTGGTGGTGAGGGTGGCAAGAAAGGTGGTGGTGATGGTAATGGTAGTGGTGGTGGTGGTGGTGATGGTGGTGGTGTTGAGGGTGATGGGGTAGTAGTGGTGGCGTTGGTGGTGGCAGCAGCAGTGGCAGCAGGGAACAGTCACACCTCGCTGTTTTGTAAACTGTTTCTCACAGCTTGTTTGTTCCGGGTTAGGGCTGGAGCGGCACCGTATGGAAGTGTGACTCATTGTTTAATGTGGCAGCTCATTAGCAGAGCTTGTTGCTGCCTCTGATTTCTCTGCTCTTGCTAATTGGAGAGCCCAGTGGGGCCCTGGCTTCCTAGGAAGAACCAGTCTAGATCCCCCCAGGACTCCAGCTGGCCCTTGCCCTCCAGACTCTCGCA